TCTATTTAGATATGTAATATGTATATTTATGTCTAAAAAGCCAGCCGTCGTCATATGCAGCATATGCAGCTGCGTATAGTTTGTAATGTGTTCTTCAAAATATTCGTTTGCTATACCGTGCGACATTGTCGTAGACAACATAAAATTGTCACCTAAAAATCATGTCAAAACAATAGACCACGGGAGAGCACGCCGTCATGCCACTATAATCCGCTATGAATTTTAACATCAAGTAAAGATTATATTATCGACGTAAATATTATATTTTATCACGCAGTAAGGGGAACTTTAGTATGTATTATTTACGAGACACATCGTACGAAAAGTTGGTGCAAATTATTAAACTTGCAGTTGGGTTGGCGAGACTCTTAACTGCCTCTGAAATCGATTAGAACGTGGTTCTTCCATATAAATCTTTGTTATACATTCGTAAGTGAGATTAACGTATAAACTCGTATTTAAATGGCATTTAGATAAATAAATTATGAATTGAGATCTTGATCATAATATAGAAATTATTATGATTATTTAAATTTGTAGCTTAAGATTAATATTGATTTCGTTTTACTTTTTAAGTGACCGATGTTTTATTTTTTTGTTTGTGGTAGAGCCATGCAGCAGCAGAGCTTCACCTGTTGCACTAATGTGCAGACTCGTCCGAATACTTATTCTTTTTATTACTTATTTTTGGTACTTACCACGGAGTGAAAGTATTACACTTTCGCGTTTCGTCTTATGAGTACGGTAACCCGGGCACACCAATTTAAAGGTTTTCAACGCATCTGCAGTCCTTCAGAAGTTGTAGATGTCGATTGGCGGGCGCGACAGTCTTCTCTGTTGCACAATGGGCAGGTCCGTCCGGGTAACTACCACGACCACAAAGAAGACCGCCGTGAAGTGTAAGTATTACACTTCTACATTTCGTCTGTTGAGTAGCCGGGATCCACTTTATTACAAGGTAGCATATGCATCCCTACGGGTGTTGCAAATGTGAATGGGCAGTAGTCATCACTTAACATAAGGTGAACTGCCCGTTTGCCACATTCTCAAATCAGAAAAAAATGACTTCAAGTAAACAGCCTGCTTTTATTGTGGAAAAGTAACAACAGTTTTGGTTACAGCTACCGTACGTAAAAAAAAAGTAAAGTAATAGCCTATACATGTCCCACTGCTGGGCAAAGGCCTCCTCTATACAGAGGGTATCAGGGCATAGTCCACCACGCGGCCGTAGCATTTCATAACCGTCGCCATACCATAATCATAGAAGATTATAAAAATGGACAAATGGCGACAGAGGACAGATTTTCCGTCAGAACAGACTACCGTCGTCACGTAATTAAGCACATACAAATATGGACGCGCGCAACATTTTTGCATTAACTCCTATAATTTAACTTTCTGCTCATGTACAAAAGACATTTGCTCGGAGCTATAAAAATTCGACCAAGATAGACTTGTGCTAAAGCCTCCATTATAAGTGAACGGCCAAACGACATTCAACTCGACTCGATTGATTTGACTGTTCAATTTCATTTGGCAGCATCCCTATCATTATTAAGGCCTATCCTGGAAGAAGGTCGTAAACTCGCGTAGTGATGCGCTCCGCAGTCCGGATTTTCAATCAGTGTAATATAAACTAAATTTTGAAGCTCAATGAAAATTGTTTACCGCACTTTCTACGCATTGATTCAGTCAAAAGTGGAATGTTTCGACTGTTTTCAACAAACTTCAAAAACGAGGATGTTATCTATTCGGATGTTTGTGATTTTTTTTATTTTACTTGTATAGAAATAAAAAAAAAACCAAATTGAGAATCATACCCTAACTCATTTCTTTGGTTAAGCTCGATAATTGTAAATTACTACACTTATTTTAAAAACACGAAATATATTTTCTTCCTATTCTAGCTAGTTTAAACGTTCTAAATTCAAATCAAATATAAGCTCCGATGAAAACCGTAACATAGCTTGAAAAGGACCTTTAATGATTGTGTGTGTTATTTTGGCTTCTTTTTAAGGTACTACCTTTATATACTGTATATATTCGAAAAAAACATTTGGGCTTAAAAAGAACTGGGTGATTCTTATTTCTTCTTGTCTTTCAAAATATAGCTTAATTCTAATACACAATTTCATATATGCATGACACTCATATCTCTGGAATGCGAGGGGTATTTTTTTGAAAGCAGATTTTATTCAACTTAATTTTCATATATGTAGATAACCTTGTCTATTTTTTCTTACAAGGTTTTATTTAACCCGATAAAAGAGCATCACTAAGCATAAAGCAGAAGCAATTTGCATCATTCCAAATCGGCGGAAGGTTTTCAAGCGACAATAGCCGTGAAATGGCCAAGTGGCAATACTGTGGTCGGCCTTAAAGAAAAAGGGCCGATAAAAAGGAATTGCTCACGGGCAAATTAGAACGCTAATTTTATTGCATTAAGGTAATAAATCGCTAGGCGTTCGCCGGCGTTTTATTACACCGCCGCCCCAACGGTAGCCGTAAAGAACGCATACCGAGAGGTTGAAAAACTTTTTTAATTCTATAATAGTACATGAGTTTACTTAATGGCACTTTGTTTTTTCAAATCCTTAACCGTACTGTCTTCGAAAACTTACATGAATTTACAGGTTGTTAGCCAACAGGCAAATTCTCTGCCTCTGAGGTAAACGGCATTATGTGACTAAACACAAATTTTACAGGAGAGGCAAAAAGCGTAAGTGAAGCCTTGAATGAATTATTGATTATGATGTCATATACGATTGGATATTTTGTTAATTTGGCGTCGTAGGACTTAATACACCATTGTGTAGTTGTTCTTGCGATTTTAATGGTGTAAGAAAAGTAATTTTAAAAAATGTGTAGTTACTATTCTATGCCTCTATAGTACAGAATTTCTTAAGTAGTTAAAACTTTCTTCTTTTTAAATATCCTAGAGGACGCTGGTTCAAATCGACCCAAAAGTTGCGTCCATTTTTTCTACAAATTTTCAATTTAGCTTAATTATAAGTCGATACTTTTAATCTGGATGTAACGATATCCGAAATGTATATTTGAGTATGGATCTAATATTTACAAGATTAAATCTATCTAAAATTACATTAATTTAACTTAATTTAACTTAGTGCTATTCTCTGCACTTTAACTTAAGTGCTGAGAATAGCACTAAAGATAGCAATATAACTCTAGGTACACTCTGAAACTTTTCTGAATCTTACGTAGTCTTTAACGTAAAGTAGCAAACAAGAGAAGAATAACGTTATCGTCTTATCCATGTTCAACAAAGTAGTAGTTTCTATTAAACAGGAAATCAATTCACAGACATGGTATTAAGTCACGAGATGATTTTTTTTTTATATTTAGACAACGATCCTAAAAAATTTGTACACCTATTAAACGGATATGAAATAACTGAAACCAATTTTGATAAAACTTAAAGAACTCTCTCTTCCCTTCTATTCTACCAAGGATGATTGGTGATTCTGTTGAAGTAAGGAACCGTCTTGCAATAGAGAAGTAAGTTTACCGTCAGCTTGGCCTCCTATAATTTATTAAATGAAATCCAAAAGCTAACACTGCAAGACCGCTAGATTCTCCAAACATAATCTGCAAAAAAATTAAGCATTAAATATAACATTAAGATGTGCGGCATGTCCCTTTACTCTGGATACTGTAATTTTTTTTTAATTTTATAAAATCTGTAAAAGGGTTCAATCTAATAATGAGATTTTAATTAGCATTATTAAAAAAAATATTTTTTCATATATCAAAACGTATCAAACAAACAAATCAAATAGGCGAAAATGAACTTTCAAAACAATTTTTTAAATACGGACGATTAATTGTGATCATAATCATTTACTAATTCATAGACACTCACATTTGACTTCATTGCTAAAAACTATAAAAATACTCCATTAAAACCTTACCTACTTTGTCGGCGAGCGAAGCAATGTACTTCCATACGTAATCAACTATTAAAATGTCACAATACACGAATATCAACAAAAGATCCCTCATTATTATTTCGTATTAACACATAAATTCACGACTGCCTGCCATTCGCTTATCTGATCTTAAAAAGTGGCGCTTTTTTCCCTTTGTAATTGGCGATTTCCTAAGGGGAAGCCCAACACGTGGATTTAGCAATCAAATAAATATTAGGCCTAAATGGAACAGGTGTATGAAGACCGTTAACGCGAAACAACTCAATGTTCCGTTGAAAGAGAGAAAAAAACTCTTTAATGAACCTAAATTATTATTTTTCTGCCGCTTTTATCTATCATTCATAATGAATCTGCTCTTACCTAATTCGACTATTACAAGAGTGAGTCACAATAAATTGCAAGATAACGATTCAAGTTACCCATTAAGAATATTTATTCTTACTAGCTATCGCCGGATAATAATTCGAATGTCATGTATTGAGATGTTTTAAGTATATTTTGAAATATTTTGCCGACAATCTCTACTTTGTTCGACAGACTCATGGAACTGTTTTAAATTATGCACTCATTCAACACGTAGCCTTTAACTAGGCAAGAACAAATGACATTTGCATTGCTTTCAAAACTCAAAAACTATCGGGTGGATTGACTTGATTCACAGCATAGCTATTGAACAGTAGGGTGTTTTTATATAGTATTCCGAAGTCCCGACCGAAACGGGCAAGAAGCGACAGCGAAGCGTGACCGAGTAGAGTTAATATCATACATTTGCCGTCTTCACGCGGATTGGGCATTGATCTAAGTACTATATCAGTGGACCTAGTAGAAGCAGCAGTACGGTGTGATCTCGTCGTGTCGCAAGATGGTGACGGTATCTAGGAAGCCCTTAGTCCCTGTGACTTTCTAAAGGGCGTGCACTTGCTCAGTACCGAGGTCCGTAGGAGATGCCGGGTCCTCTCCAAACGTGTTGAATTTGGACAATGTATTTGTGTGGGCAAAAGCCCACGTAACCATGTCAGATGACATGGTATCTTTGAAAAAACAGAATTTATGAAATTAAAACGTGAGTTCAATAGAAAAATTTTCGGTGTTATCTTGGTTAGAATACGGACATCGCCGAAAATATTTCAACGATTTATCTATTAAAGTCACATTTAAATATCAATAATAAGTATCACTACATAGTATAAAACAAAGTCCCGCTGTCTGTCCCTATGTATGCTTATATCTTTTAAACTACGCAACGGATCTTTATGCAGTTTTTTTAACTAGATAGAGTGGTCAGGAGAAAGGTTTATATGTCGAATACATTGCACCCGTGCGAAGCCGGGGCGGGTCGCTAGTTAAAAATAAAGAATAATCACATAATGGACCTGCATAAAGATCTCACTACACCATAGGTTGACTGACAGAATGCCTAAAGGCATTAAGTCCGCCTATTGTGTTCCGTATTAAAGGAAATGCAATAAAAACTAAATACTTAAATAAATATTGATAATGAATTTTAAATTTTACAGTGCTAATCTTAAGATTAAACATTAAAAGTTGTAGAAAAAGTACGAAAAGATCGTCGTCGCTGTGGGAATCGAACCCACGTCTTCGGCATTCGCGGCCTGACGCTTTAGCCACTAAGCTAAATGGCTGATTGCCATCCCGACGGAACTCTTAACGTCTTTTATCCACATTGCTTTTTAGCATTGGCTAAAGCGTCCGGCCGTGAATGCCGAAGACCGTCAGATTCCCACAGCGGCGAAGATCTTTTCGTACTTTTTCTACAAATTTCAATTTACTTATTTTATTTTAACAAGAAATAGCCCTTACCTTTAGGATAACATTATCCTGTGTTGTAAGGACTTTTTACATTCATAAACACGTGGACCAACACCCAGACGCGAAACAACTGTCTATGGGACGCACAAACAGTTGTCCCGTGTGGGAATCGAACCCACGACCCCCGACGCCGAAGCCAATAACTTGGCGACTGCGCCGCGGAGTCATCGGATTGACAACGAGCTGTTTGAAAAAGCGACAAATTCCATTACAGGCCAGGCGGGCGTTAACCAACTGGGGGGCGTGTTCGTAAACGGCCGGCCCCTCCCCGACGTGGTGAGGAAGAAGATAGTCGAGCTGGCGATCCTGGGCGTGAGGCCGTGCGACATCAGCAGACAGCTGCTCGTCTCGCACGGCTGCGTCTCCAAGATCCTGACCAGGTTCTACGAGACGGGCTCCATCCGGCCCGGCTCTATCGGCGGCAGCAAAACGAAAGTACGTAGCGTAATATTCGAGAACATGTCATAACAATTTCAAATCCACAATTAGTTTTTAATTAACTTAAGTTCTCAAAACAATTATATTTTAATTAATGTTTTATATCACTACATAGTACATAACAAAGTCGTCCAACTGTCTTCCGTCCTATGTATGCATAGCTCTTTAAAACTAAAGAACGGATCTTGATGCGGTTTTTTTTAATAGATAGAGTGATTGAAGAGGAAGGACCCATCTGAAGCCGGGGCGTGTCTAGTATAATTATATAAATAAGTTCTTTATTACAGAACTGTAACGATGCCTCAAATCAATGTTGTTTGCATGTTTAATTTTTCGTGTTTTGTAAGTAAAAGATACGCTTTATCAATTTAAACACCACTGAATATTATATTCCAGCTGACTTCGAAATTATATCATAATAGATATTGAAATGTACGATAAAACAGTTTTTAAATTAGTACAATAAAACCAGTGAACTAGTTAATAGACTGTTTAGATAATTAATAGAATCGTAAAATTGCATTGATGTACAACATGCCACAAACTCATAACCAGTTAGGTATGAGTATTCCTTTTGATCGTACTTTTCTTGAAACAACACAGTTTAAAATCGTATCGAGAATTATGTCTTTTGCTGACTTTTAACGACTGTCTTTAATAACGACAATCATTCAAACTTAGCAATAGATTTATATAGCAATGGATACATATAAAATAAAGAGTCTTTATTATTATAATAAATTGTTATGCAGCAATGATAGCAATCTGAGCGCATACCCTATAACACCAAATAGACACGAGCTGATTCAAAGAAAAGAAAAACTAAACGTCTGTGAAATAAAGAAAAATAAAGAAGTTTGCATCTGCATGGCTAACTACACAAACATCAAAATAGACAGACGTCAGATCTGATATAAGAATCATAGAAAAATCTTATCTACTTTCACCTTCGAACAGGCTAGTATTTGTCGAATTTGTGTAAAAAAGAAATAACAAAATTTCACCAATTCGGGGCGATAAGCTTCGAAAAAAAAAGGAACTAATAAAAGAGTCAACATTGCAACCGAACGGGAGATCGGTCGGCGGCCGAACGCCTCAATAAAACTCAGTGGGAGCGAATCGGTCGGGTCACGCCGCCAATCAGTTGTAATTATAAACTATAAAATGACCCGGCTTTCGGCTTCTTGCGCTGGCCTTTCGATACGCACCGAATGAGGACGGCCGAGCTTTAAGGATTCCGTACACATTTTGTTTAGTTCGTCGTGCTAGAAGCGGAACAGTTGGTTAATTGTGATTCCAACAGTTTTCATTTTAAGCGTTACTGCGTTACACTCACAAGGACATTTTCAACCGACTTCAAAAAAGGAGCTTCTATGTCGTCATTTCGGTTGTTTTTTTAATGCTTGTTCAAAAAAACCTTCGTACTCTGTCATTTACGCATTGATTTAAAAATTCTTTGTGCATCGAGTTCGGTTTAGCTCTCACAATAATTTCATTGATATTGGACTCCAATGATACACGAGGAAAATCCTCAAAATTAAATAGAAAATGTATAATGAGTTACTTTGGAGTCGATTTTGTTTTTTGTTAATAATTTTTTTTTGTCCTTAATAGTTGTAACCTTAGAAAAACCGATAAAAACCTAGCGATTATATATAAACATTTTTTTAATATGACACAATAACAAAAAGAAGTGCCAAGATTAAATAAACGAATACCAAGCATAATTTAAACTGGCCAAATTATTGGACTGAAAAAGAAATAAAACGCCTGGTACCGAATCGCGAGGACCTCTAAAAATTTTAACACATATCAATTCCAAATAGCGAGCTACACCCACGGACGCGGGGCGGCGCACTGAACCCGAAGCCGGTACGCCGTACCGACCTCACCGAATTCGGTACGCCAATAAAACATCCATTCCGTTGTACCACAAACGGACGCCGACGTCGAAAATTGATTACAACAAAATACTACGAAATCACCGAATACTTTTATTGACGCTGTTATGGGAACGAGTAATTGACTACTAATCAAGGCACCTCGGAACTCATCCAGATTGCTCGGCGATTGTGTCGAATGTAAATCCGAGATTGCCTCGTGACTGATCGCCCGAGCTTGACAGTGATCTCATACGGAACTAAATTTGGAGTTCGATGTATCACTGGCCGGCGATAAAGCCCGTTATTGAGAATACCAATAGCATACGTTGCGAATCGATTAATCGGCTTCGGAGACAGATAATTGAGATGGTGCCCGAAAAGATTTCCAGTGTGACTGATATTTTATGGCATTTTTAAGCCTCCGCGATTTTCATCCTCCGTAAAGCGTTAAGTTGATTATCATAAATAAAGCATTAACGCAAAATTGGGTGCACTTTGTGTCCGTGTTTTTTCATGTTCGCGAATAAAGAATAATGTTCATACATTAATTTTAAAACGCAGCTTCTCTTTCTGTAGTAGCACAGGCGTAGCCAGGTTTTAGTATCGAAGGGATTCGAAAAAATGAAAAAAAAAAAAACAAATATAAATATACATAAAATGACAGTATTATTGAAAATTGTGGTTGAAATACAAAAAAAATATGTAGGTAGTTAAAGGTTATGAGTGAAGCTGAGAAAATAATTTCTGAAAGATGTAGCTTCATATTCTATCTGGAAAAACCCTTAAAATTCGAAGGTTTAACCAATGACTGATTGAATATTTTAAGTATTCTTTATTCGTATTAGATGAATTCACCGAAATTAACTTTGGTTCTTCGAGGTTGTGTTCAATATTTTTATACGACTTTTCGCTCCATTAACTTTTTATATTTTGTAAAAAAAAGATAATGAAATGATAGCTGTTAATTTATTGGACACAACTTAGTTACTCAAAATATATCTCTATTGAAAAAACACGTGCGTAGAGAATTAAATAATGCAGTTCCAAAATTGCGCATTATTTAAACTACCCAAAAATTTTGCATGATCCTTCACGAATGTCTGTATAAATATTTAGTTTAAAAACGTGTGTTACGTAATTCAATTATACGTGAAAAGCTTAACCAGACCGCCAAGAATAATAGTGTGGGAAAACACGCGAACCCAGTGTACGTATTTTATTGTTCCAACAAATATTTACCGTTATTAACATCTGTTACGAATAGCGAAAAGCGCGGCGCAATTAGCGTTTTTAATAACGATGCGATACGCTTTTTTATATAATCTGTGGCTAGCGCTACAGAAGCATTAATCTGTGCAGCCGCGTCAGTCAATTTGGTTTGGCTTCCATTTGTTATAATTGATCTTGAGAATAACGATCCAGTATCTAAGTTAACTGCCGTTTTACACGAGATCCGTAAGATTATGAAGGCACGCTTGATTAGAAATGAATGAAAACAACATTTGATAATTATGGTTCGATTCGTTATTTCGTATGCGAGAGCTCTCCATTTTGTTTCGGATCAAATATACGTAGCGTTACAATTACAACTCGGATTCGAGCAATAAAGATAATAAGGAAGCAAGATTTTGAACCCCATTTTCAATTATAAATCATTTGATGTTGATGTACAAATAAATCAGGCCGAACACGTCAAAATTTTGATTGCCATTTAGTTTAAAACAAAGGAATTCTAATAAACTCGCATTATGAAACAAAACACGATATAAACAATTAGACTTTTAATTATCATTCAGAACCAATCGGTCTTTAAAACGTTACAATTTTGAAGCAGTAATAGATAATTAAATAGTAATATAGACCCGAAAATTTATTTGTATCACTACTGTGGTAAACTACATTAATGTTCAAACATATAGGTTACAAAGAATTATTGGCCAACGGTAAATCAATATAATGATATACAATATGTTAATTCAAACTAGATTTATATTTAATAAAGATTGAAGAAGAGACAATATGCTGCCCTATAAAATATTTAAGTATTGTTCTAAACAATCATATGACAATCTTGTACCTTTATAATTTTCAATAATATAACGCACTCTTCAGTTTTTTTTTTCGATATCTATCCTCTATCACTATGTTTTTATTGCAACACTATTTAAAATTCGTAAAGAAACACTTCTAAGGTAGGAATTTTTCGTCTGTTACAAAGAAGATTTTCATCCGATTTTTGTTTCTTTATTCCAATACTTCTTGTCTCTTCAGTTTTCGTTTTTCAATATGAGTGAATTGTAATAGTACTGAATAATGTACTATCGGGTATTTGTAATATTTGCAACTGAAGTGTTTCTCTTCACACAACTTTTCACCGCTTTGATCAGTTTTTTGAGTTCGTTTTAAATTTTCCTTTTGAACTAATTTCAATTAAATATTTAATGTCCCACCAATCATAGCCAGGCTTCTTGGAGAAATCCTAAAAGCTAACAGTGCTACGTTAACATTACGTAGGCCTTTTACCTGAGGCCTACTTAAGCTTGTAATGATTTGTTAACAATATGTCTATATCATATATATATAATATGATATATCAGTTTAATAATCTGCTAAGTACGAGTAAGCAAAATATATAAAAATTTGCAATATTACAAAAATAATTAAAAATTTACATCATTAGAGATCAAAAATTCACTAAGAAACTTGTTTAAAGAAATAAAAATATTGACTGTAGCTTCTCAGTACATACTTGCTAATGTTATGTATGTCCACAAAAATAAGAATGACTTTTCAAGATTTAGTAACGTGCATGATGTTAATACTAGGACTAAGCATAAATTAGTTCTACCCTCAACTAAATTGCGTAGAATAAGTAAATCTTTTATGGGACAATGTATACGCTTTTACAACAAAATCCCAGAAAACGTTCAAAACGAATCCGTTGCTAAATTCAAAAAACTTGTAAATGAACGTTTGTGTGTTAATGGCAATTATAGTATAAGTGATTATTTGAATGATAACACACTCTGGAAATGAATTGATCGCTCCAGGCTCTTTCAAGTGGAATTTAATAAATTGTGTTTAATAATAAATTGTTTGTGTTTCTTACGCCGGTTCTTCTCAGGTCAGTGGCTTTCCTTCCGC